AGAGTGAGGAGAGTCGCCCCATAGGATTTAGGGATGGGCAGACCCAAGAAAAATTCTTGGGTTGCTCTAGTCACTTCATCATGGATGATGTGCCAGTAGGTTTTGAAGAAGGTCCCATTGTATCCATCCGGGCCTGGTGCACTATGAGAGTTGAGGTCCCAAATGGCCCCCCTTATTTCCTCCTCTTGTGGAACCGCACAAAGCATTAAGTTATCCTCTCCATTAATGATATTGGGAATGTATGAAAGCAGCTGCGGGTCAATACTGACTGGTTCATCTGAGTAGATATTGGTGTAGTAATCTATTGCATGTAACGCAATGTTGCTGGCCTCCTCAATAGTCCTACCATGGTCATCCTTAATAGAAGAGATCCTAAGCTTCTGGCGCCTATTTTTGACCACATTATGGAAGAATTTTGTACTAGCATCCCCCTCTTTTAACCACCTGATGCAAGACTTCTGCCTCCAAAAATCAGTTTCTCTTTTGGAGAGCAAGAGAAGTTCAACATTGGACTTATTGAATTCAACCAAGGATTCAGGGTTTGGGTTTGCCTCGAAATGGTCTTGGGCCCTGCTAGCTCGAGATTCTGCCTCCTTAAGTTGATGGAAGATATTACCAAAATCATCCTAGCTCCACTTGGTCAAAATGGCCTTGAAATCCTTGAGTTTTCTCCCAAGGCCTTTCATGCCATTGTAAGTTTTATTGTTCTCCTAGAAAGATTTGATGGTGCTTTCTAAAGTGTGGTGTGAAACCCACAAATCCAGGAAACGGAATGGTTTGGGACCAGAGTAAGTGTCTATAGAAAGTTCCAGGAGGAAAGGCATGTGATCTGATGCTCCCTTGCTAAGCATAGAAAGGTGTACACGGTTAGCCCTATCCATCAAATGTTGATTGCCAAAGATGTGGTCAAGTCTGCGCCATAACTTTCCTTGGCTACGTTTCCCACTCCAAGAGAAATGTCCTCCGGAAGGGTGAATATAGAGGAGATTAGAAGCTTCCATGCATTCTCTAAAATCCTCCACTGAATTATAGCAAGGATTGCAGTTCCCTTTGTGTTGGTCAAGACTGTGGATGCAGTTAAAATCTCCACCAAGTATCCAGGGGTCCATGCCTACGTTCCAAGAGGAAATTGCATTCCATAAATTAGCTCTTTCAGCCCTGGTGTGCCTGCCATACACAGAAGAGATCCACAACGGGCTATGAAGTGCAGCTGAGTTGATTTGGCAATGAATGATTTGGGTGCATTCAATTGTTTGGATCAATGTTAGGCTTGGTTCCTTCCAGAAGATCCACAATTGGTTATTAAGGTGGGAGGATGCATTGGTCATTCTCAACTTAAGCTTATAATCCTGCAGCTGGCTGTTATCAAGCAAGGGTTCCATAATAGCAATAAAAGAAAGATTATAAGAAGAGGATAAAGTTTGAAGTCTAGGTGAAGACTTATTTATTCCACGACCGTTCCAAAAGAGCAAAAACATCAAAGAGATTTGGGTTTAGTTGTGGTTTTGCTCCTCAAGGACATGCTAAGAGGAGGCAGAGGGGTCTTGACACCTCTTCCCTTCATGAAGGGGATAGCATTGGTTTTAAGCGAGTTACTCTCAAAAGCGTGCAGTGGGCTCATATCTTGAACTCGCTCACCTTCCCCATCAGAGTGAATACAGGTAGGAGTACCTGGAATATCAGTGTCCTCAACATTGGAGAGGAGTGCCAGGTAGTTCAGAGGTGAGGAATGACCATTATTTGCTCCTACTTGTTTGCAAAAGGAGGCTTTGAAAGTTGGCAGCTTAGGGGGACAAGAGTGGCCCTTTGATGAGGGGCTTTGCACCAATGGGCTAATATTTGGCGTAGCTTCAGGTTTGGACGCTGAACCTGGGCTTTTTGAGGATCCAGCAGTATTATTAATATTATAATTGGGCATGCATTGTTCTGAGCACCCCAATTTGGATGGGCCCGGTATGTCTAAGCAACTCTTGTCCTTCTTCGTTTGCCCATTAGTGTGAGTGTTGCTTCCCATCACGTTATGAGCTGGTGCCTTACCTTTGCCCTGAACACGGACCCACTGGTGTGTGTTATTTGACCTGACTTCCTTAGCAGCTTGCTGCCTCCCCTCCGTTCTCCCGCCGGTGAGGACTTTTCCGACGGGCTGGGAATCAGTTTTGCAGCAGTGACCCCAGCGACCACAAGCCAAGCAAAAAGGAGGAAGATCATAAATGATTTTAATTTCACGCTCCCAGGCTGGAGTACGTACCAGAATAGAGGATTGCCTGGCCTTGGACGCGTCCATCTCCACCAGCACTCTAGCAATATTGAAGTATCCACCCCTCGCTGTGGTCTCATCCATTTGAATGGGTTTTCCCATAGTTTTGGCGACAGAGAAGAGGGATTGGGCGCTAGTAAGGAAGAAAGGAATATGTTTAAGTGTGACCCATACAAGAACCATAGGGCTGTCACGTTTATCTTCTAGGAGAGGATCCCATTTAGAGAGATACATCTGATGGCCATTTGCTCTCCAGGTTCTTCTTGATAAAAGCCTTAAAAAATCCGTTTGTGATCTGAGGATGATAACCACGATGAATCTACTGATGGAGATGACACGAAAACCAGAGAATCCTCCCCTCTCCAAGGATTTCCCTATGTCTGCAATCTGCAAGTCCCTTGCAAAACGAGCTTTAATGGCGTATGGGAAAGAATCTCCAATTTTCCTTAATTCCTCCGTGGTGAAGGTGATCGTTGGTTTTCCCTTGCTGGTGGACGAGATGGATCCTTCCTCCTCCACTGTTTTGAAAAGATCGGAGAATAGCTTCACCGGCTTGCCGGAGACCGGCGGCTTTCTCTCTCCCTCACTAGAGAACATTTTTTCCATTATATATATATATGTATATACATATATATGTATATATATATATGTGTGTGTGTGTGTATATATATATATATATATAATGAAAGAAATAAGAATGAATCATAACCATTGGATCTTGATCTCATCCCATCCTTACTACTTTTCACAAGGGCATTTTAGGATTTTCAAAACACTAGTTTAATTATTCATTTATCCGCTACTCTTCATCTCTGGAAAATATTCTCATGATTTTCTCTTCTTTCGGTTTCCCTTTTCCTTATCCGGGTATGGGATTGTCTGCGTCTTCATTCCACGAATAACAAGTAGCCATTGTCGCAGAGCAACATTCAAGAATTTAGCTTATCTTTTGACGCCGTCAAACAACACATCGAATTGTTCTTCCGTCAAAATCATGTATGCTCAGAATTCTTTTATTCATAAGTTACATAATATTACACTGGATTTTCTAATTTGATTCTGCATATAATTAATTCCTTATTTGTTTTATCTTCTTTGTTCAATTTGTCACTGACTAAAACGGACTGTATATGATGTTCGTATTCATTTTTGATGATTCAATTCACTAAATTTTCTAATTTGATTTTTTGTATAAATTAATTCTATGTTTATTTTATCTTTGGTGTTCAATTTGTCACTAATTAGAGTGATTTGAATGTGATGTTCATCTTCATTTTTGACGATTTCACTTTTTATTTTGCACTGTATTTTGATTATATAAGAAGTTGTTAATCCTCTTTTCCTCATATATTCTTCTTTAGAAATCTGGTATGCTCCAAATTTATTTTCTTTTTCATAAATTACAGACTTTTCACTCGATTTTCCATTTTGATTATTTGTTTAATTTAATTCCATATTTGTTTTATCTTTGTTGTTCAATTTGTCACCGATTAGAGCAATTTGTATATGATTTTCATCTTCACTTGTTACCATTTTCCCCTTTATTATGATTATATAACATGTTGTTACTTCTCTTTTCTTCCTATCTGTTACACGTAGCCACCCGCCTGGAATCCCATTCCAACTCAGATGAAGATTGTATCTCTCATACACTTCCACTACCGATTCCAGAATGTCCTGATATTTCAATATCAATGATAGCTAGGAATGTTGTTTAAAAATTTGGAGATTGGTATTCAATTTTATAGGGTATATGCGCCACTACTGCGGGGTTTAATATTTTGTGGGGTTGCTGCACCTGTTGATGTTCATTCGTCTTTTACCTCCCGTTTAGTCACGTAAAAAGGGCAGTGGGAAAAGCATCAAAGGAGACATAGAAACAAGTATTGAAGAAAGTAAGAGAACCAAGCTTTTGTGTAGAACATCAAAGAGTACGTCTTCCATGACAGAGGAAACTTTCATATGAATAGTGAGACATAAAAGTGAAGTTATTTACTCATTCTTATTAAAATAATACATTGGTACCCTTTAGCATTGATATCTGATGGGCCGATATCCAGTGGGCAGCCCAAATGAACCGCTTGTACAGCTTCGGGTCAGACACTCGGAAAGTACTCAGGTATGGGCCGGCCCACAGAGCCGGGCCCGGTTGACTTTAGACCAAGAGTAGCTGGCAGAGCCAGTCCGGAGAAGGAGACGGAGCAGATTGGCCGTTACAGAGCCGGAGAAAGGGGATCGCGCCCTTAACGGGATAGACTCCATCAATTATGCGTAACCTTAATTGCATATAGCTCATGTATAAATAGAGGAGACCCAAAAAGGAGAAATTCAAGCAAAAATCAAGCTAATAATACATACCCCATTCTCGAATTCTCGTTCTTAATTTTGTTCTTACGATCCGCTTAACGGATCGGATTATTTGGTGGATTTATTGTCCATCAAATTGGTGCTCTCGTCGAGAGTTCGAGAATCATACTCAGAGGAAATCCTCCATTAAGATGATGGTGCAAACGCGCAGTAACGCCAATGTAGGTACCGGAGTTCCCCAACAGGGGGAGAACAGCACCACTGGAGGTCGGAACCCTCCCATCACCACCGGGGAGGCTGAGGCCCTCATTCAGAGGGTTGGCATCACGGCCGAACAATTCAAAGAGGTGCTGGCTGCACTTGAACTTGCGCCCAACCGCGATGTTGTGGTGGAAGATGTTGCTGGGGGACCCACAGGCGGGAAGGCAAGGCAGGACCTACGGGCTCCCAAGGAAAAAAGAAAAAAGTAAGGCGGTCCTAGAAGAAGAAGGCGACCAAGCCTAACGGGAAGGCTGTGATGGCTGATGCGCTTTCCAGGCTGGAAGAAGAGGACGACTCGTCCTCCTTCGAGCGAATGTCTGCTTTTGACCGCTTGGGAGACGCCAAGTCAAAGAAGCCTCGGACCTCTGCGTTCGAGCGGCTGCAGGACACTCGGTCGGCCCGAAAAGGCGACTTGAGGGACACGCTCAAGGAGAAGAGAGGGGAGTCCACAGCGACCTCCAAGGTCGGTTCTGAGGAGCGACGGACGACCGATAAGGGCGCAGCTGAGCTGTGGAAAATGTACGAACAACTGGAGAAGCGGCTGGACGCCCAAAACCCTTATCGCCAAGCGGTCTTCAGTGAGGTAACGCCCTTCTCCAGAAGGATAATGTCCTGCCCTCTCCCGGATAATTTCAAGACTCCCCAAATCAAGGCGTACAACGGGACGACCGATCCCCAAGACCACCTCGCTCGCTTCGGGGCCAACGTGGTCATGTATGCGTACCCAGAAGAAATCAAGTGTCGATGTTTCCTGGCGACGCTGGAAGGGCAGGCTTGTGAATGGTTCCACAAGTTACCCAAGGGGTCGATAGATAAATGGAGCGACCTGGCCCACAAGTTCTTGGAGCACTTCGCATCCAGCCG